TTGGAGGGAATTTCTGAGTTGGCGAATTTTTTTTTAAAAAAGGCCTTCAAATTTGAAATATTGAAGCAGACATTACGGGCTAATCCAGTTCATATGCAGTTTGCAGCAATATACATATATTGTGGACAAAAAATCATCGAACCCCACGATTAAATAAACACTATGCTGCATGTAAAGTTGTAATGTAATGTACATAGTTTTACAAAACTGAGTGTACTTATATAAACTTTCATTCCACTTTTCTTGAACAGTACATTGTGACTTGAGAAAATTAATTTCTGAACATATATGGACATTACCTACACGTATGCAAATAGTATGATTGGCATTTAATGCCAATGTGCACAATATATAACGTGAACAATACTTAAATGCAGTGCCTGCTAAGAGAAGATCTCCACTCCCTAAAAAACAACACTGCCCTAGTACTACAAGTAGGGTGAGCAAATTCTAAGCACACCCCTAATCCCTTCACAACAGCCCTAGCCCTGTGACTGGGCACCACAACAAAGCACCCCAGGACAAAAGGGTAACCAAAGGTGGGGAATAGAGAACAAAATCCCCTAAACATGTCCCTACTTGGATTTTTTTTTTTTACGGTTTTTAAAGGTCTGTAGCCAAGCCAACTTACAAAAGAATGCAAACTACAAAAGCAGGCATCTGTGAATAGGAAGCCCAACCAGTAAGGGATAATGGATTAGGCTCACAATAACCTCTCACCTTGTTTTGAGAAGGGAAATGTGTTTAAACCCAAAGAAAGAAAAAAACCTTGGTCATTCTGGATTCTCCCACTTTATTAAGTAGGTAAGATTACACTAGCAAAAAAATCACCTGGGGGAGTTTTGTCTGGCTGTCAACAGCAACTTGCTTGAAATTAAGTGCGAAAAACACTCTGCTCAGCAGGAAGGATTATTACAGTAATTCTGTGTGGTTAATTACAAACAAGCTGCTCATTAACAGCTCTTGTCTTATCCATTGTTCTTTAATAAAACTGACAAGCCAAGGCCAGGATTTACACCTTAGGGTTTATTTTTTTCAAAGCTGTTTAATCTGTCCAGGGTGACAAGTATGTGCCAACCTAAATCATAAACAGTGCGAAGTCCCAGTTGCAGTAATCATGGAGCTATAAAGAACCATGCAGTAATGCAGTGGTCGTGCTAGTTTCTTGTATTTCTGTCGTACTTTTCACTTTTGTTTTCACTTTTTGGACAATATTTTTCCTGCTGTACTTGGAAAAAAAGTTACCAACATTGGGTATTCAAGGAACTGTGTTTCTGTACCATCAGTGTTATTAAAAGGTCACCAATATACACATCCTTTCTTTTCATGAAATTCTACATGGTGTATGAATTTATAATAAGGCCTCATACAATTCTATTGCCAGTTGAGCATCGAAAATGCAACGCCACAATCATATGAAATTTTAATTTTTAATAAACCACGGATGGTTCTGCTCTACTCACACACCGATAATTTGCCAACATCATCCCACTGTGAAAGTTGCCTCAAAATTTGGGAACATGTATTTTTTCTTTTGTTGGTTTTATTCCTCCTTGTTCGTAACCAAGGTTATTGGCATAAGCAACCCAAGAAGACACACTTGAGCAGCTGGTAATTTGCCAAAAAAAAAGAAATTTTGAATGTGATGCAGCTTGAATTAGTAGCAGGCGGCTGGTAAATTTACTACAACATTACAGCTTTTTACACATTTATTTTTTCTTTCTTTGCAGCAGGCTTCACTTTTTCTTTTTATTAAAAAACACCCAATTTAATTTTACACACAGATGATAAAATGAATATTTATTACCAAGGCCAAAAAAAAATTCTGCTTCCAATTACATGGCATTTGAAAATAAGGTAGGTAGGTAGGGACAATTCTTTTTGCCAATTTTTTGTGTGTACTATCATATGGAGGTGTCTGCGTGTAGTCAAGGGTAAATGGTAGAAATTGATTGCATTTTGTTCTCATTTTTCCCATAAAAAAAAATTGGGCAGGGGCTGTCAGAATAGGGTAGGTAGGGAAACTGGAAGCAGAACCCTTTTTTTTTTTTGGCCTAAGGACCGGTAGGGGTATGGACACAATTTTTACATTTTCTGATCAGGACGGGGTAAGAAAAACTATAAAAGTGTATCATTTAGTTACAGAATTTAAGGATTTACATGATGTATGGGAAAGTCATCATATGGGAAGGCTCCACATGTTGTGATGTTGTTTCTCACGATACAAACTATGAGTCATCTTTTGGTTAATATTTGAAATCTGGGGGAATTTTTTCCCCTTGGTTTTTTGGTTGGTCTACGAATTAGCCCAATGCATGTAAACAGATAAGGCTTGGTTTTTTTTTTAAGAATTTGTTATTCTGCTATGCGCCAAGGTGCTAATGGTGATATGCTTTCTTGGAATTTCTGCAGGTACAAGCGGTTGGATTTGAGGGGGTGGGGGTGGGAGTAGGTCTATGAATAAATGTGACTGTACATCACACATGCAGCATGTGCAAGCATGAAGCATCAATAAAATTTAACATGGTTCATGTGTGTGCATTTAAATTGGCAATTTCGGGCTCAGGAAAAATGAAGTCATGGTTTTTTGGTGTAAATTTCAACACTTTCATACCAATCTAAACTGTAAATGTTTTTTTTTAGCAGGTATTTTGCTGTATTTTGACCTATTTTTATACATATTTTAATATTTTATCCTCTCCTATGGAGATTTTGTTGGAAAAAAATTCTTCAAGGCAACAAGAACTGTATGTCACAAATTTCAAAACTGATTTAAAAAAATAAAATAAAAGAGCATTAGGACAGTTTTCCATGTGTGAAAGGGAATATGGGAATCTAAATGTTTTACTGATTTGATTTTTTTTTCTCTAAGTAATTTGTCGGATATTGGATTGAGTTCATTTTCTGCCAAATAGCCTTCCAATACAATTTATCCATAGTTTACAAGCATGCAAATCGTAGCATGAAGAATGAATGCATATCGAGTACATAGATGGAGTGCAATGAATACACCATATAGTATGAAATACTGCTGGTATCGTGCTTTGAAATACACACAGATGTTAAAGAAAATGCCATTAAAAGTTATTTCCCATCAGTTCAACACGAGTTTGAAACTTGTCCATGCATAAAAATTGATATCGCACTTGTGCAATAAACATGCAAAATACAGATACTAGGCTGAACAGGGGAAAATGGACAAAAAAGAAAATACTTTGGTGTTTTTTTTTATCCTCTGACTCAGTTTGGGTACTTAATTTGTTAACTTCTAAAAATCTGCAAAAAATACTTTAAAAAATAATAAAACAATGCCTACACTGTGCTCACGTCATGTTGCCATTTCTTCCAATTTGCTTTGATACCTTTGCAACTTGCACGATCATTTCACAGATTTTAATATCCTTATTTTTTCAACTGTTTTTTTTTCACTAAAAACTAGGCCCTAGATTGCTTTACAATGTTTTTTTAATGAAAACGAACCAAGAGTCTTAAGTTTACTGATTCAAAGTGGGTGTGAAACATTTGACTTGCTAAATTTGCAATATTTTCTTTTCAAATATGGATACTTTTTATGATTGGATCAATGAAATTTGGATGATTTTTTTTTAAATCCAAAATCAAGGAAAGAATAACTTTTTTCTTCATATATCATCGCAAAAATGTTGAAAAGACAAGAATCTGAGACTGACCACTGAGAAACATTTCCAATTTTGTTAGGAAATATTTAGAATATTTTCATAGGCCTACTGACTGTACTCAACTACTGAAGTGGCGTCTGGTTGTCTGGATACTACATTTTTGCCCAAAATCAAAATGCGACATTTTAGTCAGAAATGACTTAGGTTTGGCCTAGTCCTGGCCCTGGGGAAATTAAAGGGAATATACAACATTTGCAAACATCGAAAAATAAAACTACCAAGTTTTTGCGAAATACCTTAATAGGATGTTGGTAAATGACAGTCTAAAGCATCCTGTAAAATTATGGCACCTGGTATACTGTCATTTTCAAGAAAAGTGTTATTTTTGTATCAATTTCCAACGCTGATCGGCCGATCAACGTTGGAAACAACTGGCTTTTTTTTCAAATACTGGCCCCAATTGACCATCGCACTTGTTTACAATCGATTACAAACCTATGAACGGGTACGAGCCAGCTAGACTGGTTCCCTAACCTTACAATTCCCCAATGTATGTAAACTGCTCTGTTTCTTCTTATATGGAGTCAGGGAACCAGACTACAGGGAAATGATCGTTTTTCTTGGTTTTTATAGCATTTTCGAACCCAAAACCTCCAAAAAGTCAGTGTAACTATATTTGCTTTATATTTCCAGCCCCCCAATTCCAACCATTTCTGAAAATTACAGCAAAAGCAAATGATGTATATTCCCTTTAAACAAATCCAAAGCACAAAATATTTTTGCAAAAGAACCATTAAAAATGTAAACAAATGTCTGAACACATGTCCACAAATACAGCACAACTGCTACTACCGCTAACCCAAATGTACGGCATTTGTGAAAAGAACTTCAGAATTCAATTTACAAGCCCCAAAACTGCTTAAAAAATGAAATGGTTAAATCACTGTGACTACACTGTACATTTATGGTACAAATTGTACGTACAGCAGCATAGATGTATGCACAGTGCACACGCACATCACGAGCAGACGATGAAATCAAGCCATGTTTTTTTCAAGTGTAAGGGGCAAACACCCCTTAAATTTTCCTTTTGGGATGGGTGTTATATCCTCAAAACATTCGATATAAATTCCCTGGACATCTGCGGTAATTCCTATGGGGCTGCAAGGTGTGTATGACTCCACCAAGGGTGTGTAATTCCGGGAAAGGATCGCAGGGCCCCTGCGTAAAAATCCTTGCTTCGGACATCGCCATTTCTTTTCGCAGCGTTGGCATCGCAGCACACACACAACACACCGGCGGGTGAGTGTTTGCTTCTGTATCTCCGCATACATGCACTCAACCCACCGACGAAATACTCACCGTTTCAAATGCTCTTTTATTTTCTCCTCGCGGATATTATCCGGTAGATTCCCAACCCAGAGGTGCCTGGTCTCCCGCACCATGCTGGCCATGGGTTAGATCCCAGTAAAGCGTCCAGCAGTCGCTGAAATCCCGGCTAGAAATCCATGAAAACATTCGGTCACTTCGTCGTGGCTGTGAGTGAAAAATGGTGTCTCCCTCTTATATTGCCGGTGACGTCATCCCTAACACGCACACTACTGCTGTACTGCATGCGATATGCATAGTGCTGTACTGCATATCCACGATATGCACACATTGAATACGCGCACTGGCGCTACTTGGTATGAATCATGGGATATGTTGATCAAGTTCGTGTTAAGAGCTACATTTTGTCTCTCCGCCGCACACCCCAAAAATGGATTAAATTATACCACTTTTACCAGGATTTTTATATTTAAAAGACCACCATGCTAATACGGATATATTCCTGCGGCACCTCGCACTACTTCCGTGTGGATTTACGGTGTTTTCGGTGTCGAAAATGGGTCGCATAGGTGAACCGTTTTCTCGTTCGGGGCGCCACCTCCAGTTACAACAATGGCGGAATATAAAATAGACGACATGGTTTCTTTGTGGACGCTTTATATTAAACCAGTAATAAACCAATTATGCCACCCAGTTTTGGATAACCAAATACCCTTAATACGTTGAGGATATAATACCGAGTATCGTCCCATCAATCAAAGGCGGAAAATGGGAGCATATCGGGGGAATTTACTTAGGCAAAAATTGTTCATTTGCGCTGATGAACAAAGAAGGTTATGGTGACCTCGTCACGTTTGCCGCCTAAAAAGCTCCATAGAGTTACGTGTGTGTAGACGAGCTGTACGCACAGAGTGTACGTGTATCATTACGTGGCGTTGCAACAAGCGGCTGAAGGTTTTTGGGTGTGTCACTTCAGCGCTCAGTGGTAATTGCATGCTTTGTATTTAAATGTGATTCAGTTAAAGAGTTATTGTGTTTTATCTCGTCTTCCATCTAATTATCACGAACAAAAGTAGGTATGGAGGGCCCAGTGTTAATGTTATGTTGATTTCGGGGATTCTCGATAAGAGGACCTTTCCCATTTTCTAATGTGTTTTATTATATTGTGGAGTTGGCCCTATGGCATGCCGATCTTTCAGCATATGCTTCGAAAGATGTCTGATTTGAAAAAAAAAAGGTTTATTATTATCAGGTTTACGGTAAAAATATTTCACGAAAGGGTTTGTATATGTTGCCTTTTAATTTTAGTGCTTGCAAAAACATCATTACTTAGAATAGGCGTATATGACAATGCTGATTTTTCACCGGCCCGAAAAAAAAAAAAAATTTATATACATCAGGTGAGCTTTATCAGACCCCCGTATTCTGTCCAATCGTAAGTTTGATCATGGAGGTACAATTGAACGAATATCACGTGAAAATCTGTGGAATTGTGAGTGCAGGGTTAAAGGTTCACTACTAATGAAACATCATTAACAACTCCATTTTATCGGGCGGAGATTCAGCGCTGGTCTATATACATTGTAGCATAAAAGAAGATAGAACTTCCGCTGATAAATTGGGAAAAAAATAGCAGTTGCCAATCGCCATTGGCCAAACTCTTCTTGACTACAGAAAGCCGAGCCAGAATTTCAACCAACCCCGATCAGCGACGGTCGGGAAAAAAACATGCGATACTTCTTTTATTAAATTCACGTGACTCAATGTGTGCACAAGTAGTCGCTATCCACGCACGCACCCTGTGCCCTACTCATCAAGCCTAGCTAGCTAGATAACCAGCCCTGGATGGAGAACTGAATCATAACAAAATGGAAAATTTCTGGCGCGGTCGGGGGGGGGGGGGTACTTGAGTGAATGTGTGCCGTTTGTGTGTGATGTGGCGCGCGTGGGCGGGAATTTTATCTGTTTGTCAGGGACCGTCTCGAAATGGCGCTGACCGCAGAATTAAAGGGATGTCATTAAAGTGTGCAATGCGCAAATGTGGGTGCAACGTGGAGGATCTGCGCACCTATTGATTGATTGGCCAAGCACAGGTTGGTACGCGCGGTTGAGAGGTCAATTAATAAAATTGCATGATGTAAGCGCAATTTTGTGCGTGTACATTGGATCGGATGGCAGCAGGCAGGTTTATATTGTGTTGGCAGAAATAGGAATCAATATGTTACTTTTCTGTAGATAGATGTGTGTCGGTGTGTTGGCATGAAACTAAATGAGTTTCGCTAATGGCACCGATTCCTTAAAACGTGAGCACATGCATAAATACGGTGGTATTAATATATTATATCGGTGTCGCATGAAAATCAGACTCCTAAATTCACGCTACACATGGGCTTTGCTTTCCGTTTTGATATTACTACAGTATAATGCATTGGACCAAAAATGCACTATGTGCGGACCATGCAATTGCAAGTACGCCATCACAAGTGCCCACGGAGGCCCTCGTCAATGGCGAAAACAGTTCAGTCATGGGCAGTACTCGCTGTGTAGTTTGTACAAAGTTGGTACATGTACAGTGTTCTGCAAATCATGTGCTTCCATTTCGCTTCGGAATGGACGGTGGACCGTGCAAGATGGATTAGGCCATGCTGTCGCCTGGCCTTGGCGATGTTATCTGCCACGTCCCCTGGGAGAATAACATTCTTGTCTGAAAAGAATCATGTGACATTACATGGCGTGCGTGTCAGCGAACTCGGCAAGCTTTGCCAGCAGGCGTAGCCTACATGATGAATGCAAAACGTTATGTATGCTATGGCGGATGGCCAGACATTTTACATGCGAAAGCGTCTTAGAGATCAACAAAACACGGTTCAATTGTTAATCTTCGCTAAAAACACTGCCACCACATAAACGTATGTTGCCGATTGAGAGTTTCTGCTATTTTGTCATTTTTGTCTTGCAGGCAACTTAACACAAATATTACATGTACATGTACTTGTCTTTTTTAATCTCTCAAGAGGCAATGCCTCGGTATGCAGCATCGTTTGAGCAATGTCATCTTGTGGACAAAATGAAACATACTCATAGACAACAATAATCATTCATTTACTTTCATCTATGTCGCAATACATGGAAATGGACTCGAGAGTTTTTAAGCTCCCGGATTTCATGACATATTGGCTCGTGACGGGTAATTCCAGAATGTGTCATGTTTGTAACTTGGCCCGAGAATGTTCTCCCGTCATAGCCGAAGCTCGCAGTGGGGAGTGCGGTACATGATTCTATAAGAGATGACATCATATCCGGGTATATCTTTTGGCCAATCGGGTAACCAGGCCGATATTCACGCTCGCCGGTGATTGTGATGTGATATAAGCCGACTGACGCGGTGATATATTCTGCCTATCCCCCAGGGACGGTCTCGTGCGCCGGCCGGCCCACGGGAGATAGGCCTACGAGAGAGCCGGATTACTAATTATAATTTTCCGAGCGCGGGATATGTGCGCGAAGCCCGCTAAACTAAAGCGAGATCTAGGTACCCATTAATAAAGAAGACGCCCTCACCACCACCACCCCTTGCAAGAAACGAATATGGGAAAGCAAAATGCTTGCGGACAAAAATTAAGTTTGTTAAAAGTATCCGCGGAAATCAATAATTTAATCAGTAGAGGTCGAAATGATTACATTACATGAACTATATTACAGTGCCCTCCGTGGATGGACATTAAGTCGCGTAATATCACGCAATTTAAAGTGCACGTAATGTCGAATTTTTATTTGGTATCTTTTATGTAATGGAAAAAAATCTACTTTTTTCCCTATTTTGGACGGTTTTTTTTACATTCTGAAATACATGTATATTTCGGGTTGTTTTTCCGCTCATAACGTAAAGATACGCCTGACTTATTGTCGGGCTGCAACAAAAATCGAAATTTGTAAATGGGTTTTCATCTCAATGGTTTTTTCTTTTTTCTGATTTCCGAAAGTATACATACTTTTTCATGATGTAAAAAAAAAAAAAAGCTTTCTTATTAAGCATGGGATTGACTTTGAAATATCCTCAAATTGTAAACATCATACATAATATACCGACTTGTCTCAATATCTAAAAGTGTATTTTGTTCCACAAACTTTCCGCTTTTTCATGCTGCAAACAGCGGTGGAAACAAATGCATCCTGAAGGTTTTCCCCCAGAGTGTAGAATACTCGTTTCGGGGAATGCTAGCCTTTTTTTATTACGCATCCTGGTCCAGATTTTTTAGAAATTCAGTAGACAATAGCATTTCACTTTCAACCTGGACATAAAAATAGACTTTTTTGTTCTGCATAAGAAATATTGAAAGGATAAATATAATTCGCGCTCATCGGAATGGCATGCGGTGCGCGATAACAGCATATGGCAGATATCTAGCGAAATAACCTTTGCGCCTAGTGGATGGAGGACCACGAAGAGGAATACAGCACTACGGCGTTCGATAAAAATGGCGTCGACCGTGTCATCAGATGATCATTTGCTGGAAGAATCCAAGTGCAGATTTAATTGGGGATTCTTTGGATAGCACACCGCCCCCTTCCGTCACACCAATGTCATAATTTATAGCCTACATTACAGGCCTAGTACTACTACTGAAAAACAAATTACATCATTTTCTCTTCTGAAAAAACAAAAGGTCGGAAAATAAAGGTTTACTGCTAAAGGCCTTTGGTTTCTGCATGTTTTCAACACCTCGGCCAACCCCTTTAAAATAAAACCTGGATCCGACTCTGGAAGCACGCCCTTCTCTTCAACAACGCGTGCTGGTGTTAGCTAGCCGCTGGCATGGCTGAAATTAACTTACAGTAATCCAGTTCAAATCCCATGTTCAAGTTGAACGTTTTATGACTAGGTGTGAAGTTGTTTCAGTTTTCTCAACTGAACTTCAGTGAAAAATCACCCGTAATTTATGCACGTAAAGCACAGATCTTGTGTTCGACACGCTTTCCATTTCAAGGCTATTTTTAGTTGGGCCTTACAAAAAGTATGGTCATCTCATTTCTGTCCGTGTAATGAAAATTGATAAAATTGATAACATGTAAATACAAAAATGTAAGTGGTTTCCAAGGCCGGTATGTACATGTATGTTTTATAGCTCCATGATTGAAGTAAGGTCAAGCCACAAAGAAATCTGAAAGTGTGCGAACGCACGAGTCTCGAGTACATGTTACTACACGTAGGCGTTATATGGCGACTTCGCTTGTAAACAACAGAGGGCTCACTTCATATTTTGCATAACACCACATCGCTCAGCCGAGTTGAGGCTAAGGCGATTACGCTTGAAATCAACATTGGTTTTATGTCCAGAATTTGGGAAAGGTTTCAACACAATTAAAGTCTTAAAATAAAACCACAACGGGAAACTGACTAGGTGCATATAAAAACAATTTTAAAGTGGAACAAAGAAATTGATTGGTAACGGGGTTTGAACCTATACAACCTCCAGATTGCCGTCCTGGTGCTCCACCAACTGAGCTGTCCAGCCCTATATTGGTCACGGGTTCAAACCCCACTCCAGTAAAATTCTTTTATCAACTTCGAGATTAAAGTCAGTCATTTCTGAACCATACTACAGTCACACAAACACTGCAGCATTTTTATAACCAATCACCATATGTACAACTTTTCCTTTGTTTATTCGTTTTGTACAAACAACCAAAACTTGATTCTAATGACACATAAAAAGATGAAAACGAATTATTTACAAGTGATCGGTATTTTGTTTAACACTGAAACTCCTCTTGCTTGTCTTTAAAAACAAATCTTTTCACAAGTCATCTTATGGGCAATTCCACGGTTACTCACGTTACATTTTCGTAACGTGAGTAACCGATTTTGTGCATCTTATTTATCATACATAACACATTTTTCTGGATGTCATCTTTGGTGCTTAGGTAGGTCTAGGTCTACTCTATCTACCATGGGGATAACAGTTATTAAACCTTTTCAGTAAGGTAATTACAGCCCAAGGAAACTCAAAAGTACATCAAAAATGTAACATGAGTAACCGTGGAATTGCCCTTATGTTGGTTTTGGAACCGGGGGGGGGGGGGGGGGGGGGGGGGGGGGGAGTCCGTTATCTGTGCATTACTACAGAGGGGTTTTTGCAACAATCCACACTAAATTAAAAAGACGATCTATATGGTAGGAGTTGCCAAAAAATATCTTTAAAGGTAATATAAATCCTTTGCTTTTGCTGTAATTTCCAGAAATAGATGGATTTGGGGGTTAGGTATTTTATAGCAAATATTGTTACACTGACTTGTTTAAAGTTTTGTGTTCGTATATGCTGGATAAACCAACAAAAATATTCTTGTTCTTGTAGTCTGGTTCCCTGACCCCACTTAAATGAAACAAGGCACTTTATAGACATCAAGGAATTGTAAGGTCAGGGAACTAGTTTAGGTGTGTAATCCATTGCAAACAAAATGCGGACTAATTAATATGGTAAATTGGGGGCAGTATTTGAGAAAAAAAACACCTGTTTTTTCCAACGCCGGTCGGCGTTGGAAATTGATACAAAAATACCACTTTTCTTGAAAATAACAATACACCAGGTGCCTTGATTTTACCGGATGCTTTAGACTGTCATTCACTAAGAGTCCAGCAAGGTATTTCATAAAAATTGGTTAGGTTTTTTTTTTGATGTTTTCAGATGTTTATTCCCTTTCACGGCAAAGCAAGGTTGCCACACTCTGAGGCAAAGGCATTCCTTTGTTACTGTTCATCAACAGTTACTTGTGACTGTGAATGGACTTGTGTTTTTGTTTGTGACTGGACTTGTCCTGGGCCTGTTGGGTCCCGTCAGTTCCTCGGAGGTCCAAAGTGTCGAGGGGGTCTCATCGGAGGGCGCATACCACGCATCGGGGGCATGCCTCTGGGTCCACCCCGGCCACCTGTGTTAGAAACGGAACATGTAAGTACTTGGTACTTGATTGGTTCTTCTCCTAAGGACTTCCACAAGGGAGTATAACTAGGAGGCCAGAAACACCGGGGCAAACCCCCTTCTCTTAGCGATAAGTGTTACTGGGTTCTTTTACGTGCGTTAGGCCTTATGCAACACACGGGACCTCCGGCTTTAACGTCCCATCCGAAGGACGAAGCAATAATGGTTAAGTGCCTTGCTTAAGGGCACAAGTGTCCGGGCCCGGCCTCGAACCCACACCACTGTTGCCTCTGAAACACCAGAGCATGAGTCCGGTACTCTTAACTGCTAGTCAATGTTAATGCTTCACGTGTTACAAAAGGAACATTAATCCTAACCACTCCAACTCCATCAAAATCCATCCCCCATTTTGGTGGATTTTGGGGGGCTCGGTCCAGAAGGCCTGGCGTGACTAAACATTGATGGAATATGATGGACTTGGGCCTAATGGCCTGAAGCAGTGCTAGGGGTACCCGATTGATTTTGCCTAGCTTCCTGTACTGCTATTGGGATAAAAGCCATGTATAGCAAGTCCATGAATGTCAACCAGTGCGTCAGTGGTGGATTCCATTACGTCATGTACAGTTTTGTATTGGACGTACAGTGATTGATGGATTTTGATGGCCCTCTCGAGCCCCCCTTGGGTGCACCACTGCGCATGTGCATTCGGTAAAGCTCGAACACATCTCTAAAGGTGAGTGGATTGTGTGAAATACCAAAAACGAGCTTTAAGTAACAGGTGGAAAGCCACCCCAATAATCACAAGAACTTGGATTTGTTTATACTCACCAAACGGTGGTGGTCTGTGGGGCATCCTACCCCCAGGAAACGGAGGGGGGAACATCCCCGGTGGTCCATCTCGAGGACCCATACCTGGAGAGAGAGAAAAAAAGACAGCGACAATAAGAAACTCAAATCTTTATCAAATGTCAGTAATTGCAATACCTGCAGCTGTATTGGAATCAAACTTGTCCAAGAATGGGGAACTCATTCTGTCATGCGATTCTGGCGTTATTTTAATGAAATTGTCAACATTAGTGACAGAAAATTGGAAACACGGATGACAGAAGTCCCATAGCGCTACGGACACTACACAAGCAGATTTGGACCATCCAAGTTGATAATTGCAGCAACTCTCTCTAAATGGGCTCCACACACGAACAGTAGATGGCTCCTTATGACCTCTTCTAGAGCTCAGTGGACGGGACACACCGCGTGTAAGTACTGTTTCGCGTACTGGCGCAAAGTACGCACAAATCACTTTATGCCGAATGGGTATAAAGCCATAGCATAGCGTCTTTGTGCGTGTGTCAGGCATCGTCAGTGGTGTATTAGTTACTTTTTTCGCCACCTCTATGGGTTCGAATCCTGCTCAGACCACATGTGGATTCGGTTTTCAGTCCCTGCCCGACTCTGTGGTTTTCCCCAGAATATTCTTCGGGGGTTTTCCTCCCCCACCTCTAATACTGTTGTTTCTTCTCTTGTCTACAGCTTTTTTCAGGCTTTCGTTCTACAGCGCTTAGGGCACTTTTGAAGAATCTTTGGTTTTCATTACCAGAAAAAAATAATTAAAATTTTTTATGAAGGTCCTTCCAAGTGGTCTCCCCACTTCTCCCTTTGTAATAACTGATGGGGTATTTGTGCGCAGAGCTCAAAAGGCTATAAACTGAGGTATCATGCACTATATTGATGATTTCCAAACTTTCAAAAGTCTAGTTTAGTGGTATATTTACGTACCTGGAGGCATGGGCGGTGGTCCGCGGGGTGGTCCCCCACCTTGGTTGTGCTCCTGGTTCGGTCCGTCCTGTCCCGGCGGCATCGGGGGCATGGGAGGGAACGGCATCCCAGGCATGAAGGGGGGCATGGGCATGCCAGGGGGGAACATGCCCGGAGGGGGTACACCAGGAGGAGGCATAGGGGGCATACCGGGGGGTGGGATGGGGGGCGGGCCGGAGGAGGGATGTCCAGGGGTGGGAAATCCTGACGTGGCTGGGGGGAAAAAAAGATGTAAATCATACAGAATTAATTGGAAGTGAGATGACAATCATAAAGATTGAACGGTGGCTGTAATAAAGGCTAGAATGCCAGATTTGGTTATTTTTAGCTGTGGACAGCAGCTCTACAAATACTTGTGTCTCTCTGTTAGTTGGTTTGTTGGTTGGTTAGTTAGTTAGTAACAAACATCAGCAACAGCCTTGCATGGCTCGAAATCACCTTGTCCCCTTAGGCCCTGCAAATGGGTATATACCAACGCCTGCCTCAGGTTGTTGTGACACTTTAATAGGTCTCCACTGACCGCCTACCAATATATTGCAGTCGAGGAAAATGGGGTAACTAGAGTCGAACACCAGATGTTCGTACCGAGAACATGATAAGTTCACTAGGGTAAAATACCTGACTTTTGTACGGAAAACACTACTCCTTCCAGAAATCACATGGCACAATCACGCCACACACGCATGAACATAAATGCGTTGGTCCGCAGCTTTTGAGATCATTTCAAGCTTGTTATAACTTGAGTTACAGATTTTCCAAGTCCCATGTTTGATGGGTAGCAAGAAAAATTACAATACCAACATCAAATAAAGCGTTAAAAGATGAATAAGCGTAAATGCATACACGGGGAAGGAAACATAAATTTTGCAGACTTCAGCAAAATCTTTGCCAGATCGTTTCCAAGAATTTCACTTGTCAGATGTTGTTAATGTTTTGATATCATACGATATGATATCACAACACCTCAGTGCTGTAGACTGTTTTCCAGTCTGTGCTATCTATATTCAAACTGTTCGGACAATCAGCCTGACTGCCTTACCTGGGGGAGGGGGCGGGACCCCCGGCGGTGGTATGACAGGAGGGGGCAGGTTGTTGATCGTAGCCGGCGAGTCAGCAAACAGCTGATGGGGTCTGTCGGCTTGGGAGAGGGGGTTCTGTGCTGCCAAGAGTCGCTCTGTAATTGAGGAAACAAGACAGGTTACCATAAGATTTTTAGTTATCTGCATGGATTTATTAAATTATTTTTAAAAAGACAGACAAAAATGCCAGCGTACTTCAAATTTCATCAAGACAAACCTATTCATTTACAGGTAATTTTCACTTGGTTGCTTTGTGATAAAAAAATGGTTCTTTAAATTGCTATTTTGTAGGAATACTAAAGTTATACACTTTTGAATGAAAACATCTGATAAAATAAAACTGGCCTACGTTTAGTTACGGAATACTTACTTAAAGGGAAGATACAACATTTGCAAACATCAAAACACAAAATGATCAAATTATCACGAAATACCTTACTGGATTGTTAGGGAATGACTTCTAAAGCATCCTTTAAAATCGTGGCTCCTGGTGTGCTGACATTTTGAAGAAAAACTGTATTTTTCCAATGCTGGTCGGCCGACCAGCGTTGGAGAAAGCTGTTTTTTTCCAACAACTGTTCCTAATTTTTCATATTTAGTTATTCTGACTTTTCTTTGCAATTGAATACACACGTATGAAGGGGTACAAGCCTGCTAGACTGATTCTCTGACCTTACAATTCCCCAAAGTGAATTAATTGCTCCGTTTCATCTTAAGTGGGGTCAGGGAACCAGACTACAAGAACATGATGTTTTTCTTGGTTTTCCAGCATCTACAAGCCCAAAACGTGAAACAAGTCAGTTTAACAATATTTTCTCTAACATACTAATCCTCCAAATCCGTTTGTTTCTGAAAATTCCAGCAAAAGCAAATGATGTACATTCCCTTTAACAAATTTCTAATCCAGGTCATCTAGAACAAAGACAAGAATGCTGTTCCGGGATTCCATATAAATGAAAATGGGGCAGTGGTCGGTCTTTGCCATTCCCTGTTCTTTCAACCAATCTCTCACCTGCTGCGGAGCCATGTCTCTCCCCCTTGGCGTCTTTCTTGAAGGCGTAAGATATAGTGATCGCTCGGTTGCACAAGTACTGTCCGTTCATGGCCTCGATGGCCGCGTCGGCCGCCTCAAAACTGGCAAAGTTGATGAAGGCGTATCCCTTGGAGTTACCTGTGTCCGGGTCTCGCATGATCTGAAAGAAAACAACGGAATTGTTCAACAGAATTTCAAACTGATCAAGGAGTCCTGTGCTTTGAAAATGGCCCCTGCTTTGTATTTTTAAAGATATAGTCCATCATTTGTAAGTTGTGCATTTTGTTTGTTTGAAGCAACAAGTGTTCAAAATCTAATGAAGAATACTGAACAACTAACCTGATGAAGTTTCAGCTCAGCTTCAGCTGTTTATTCCGAGAAAAACAGCATTCTAGGATCTCAATTTCAAATTAAAAGTTGCTGAATCATGTTTTGAATTGTTTTGAATTGCAGCTATACGCGATGTCGCGAACTGATCTGACTAATTATAGCAACCGTGCGCGCCTGTGCGTCGTGCCAATGCATGCGCGTGCTGCGCCGAATAACAAAACGAACTACTAATTTAAATTTAAGACGCACCGTTGGAAAGGCCTTCTTTCGTTGATTACTTCAAAATGATAGCTTGCCAGAAAGATTCATTTCACAGGGAGTTTAGTCCACTTACTATCTTTTAACCAAGTATGTTTTTCAACAATAATACGCCAGTTACTTTTTCGGATGGCTGCAAATGATGGACTATAGCTTTAAAAAAGAATTTGGATGGATTCTGGATTGAGAATCTACAGAGTCCTGCTTTCAACAAGATGTGTTTTTTTTAATTCAGCTCTCTTTAACCTTCTGTTAACCCTGGAAGTTGACCTTCCAGTAACCCTCAAAGTTAAGGTCAAGTTTTGTCACAGTATGGTCTACCGGATGAGAAAATGTGACATTTTTAGTTGACTTGGTTCATTAGTAAAAGAATGAATTTGGTTAGAATGTTTACTAAAATTCATGATGTCACAGTGATAAGCCCCCCTAGGGATTAGGATCGATGTTTGTTCCAAGTTTCAAGTTAATCCAATGTACTTTATGCTAACATCCACGTAAACCATTTACTGCTCTACCATGCAATTAACCCTAACCCCCAACGGCCTTTTTGCTAGGAACCATCCTCAATCCTCCAAAGTTTTCCACTTATGTTAAAATGAAGGATACATAGCACCTCAATCCTTCAAAATCGTCAGACAGTCTTGCCCAAAAAAATACATTCAATCTCAATCCTCCAAAAATCCTCCTCTTCTTCAAACAGCAATCATCCTTAATCCTCCAAACTCCTCCAAAACCACCATGAGGATTTTGGAGGATTGAGGAGGGTTCGTTTCTGTCTTGTCTCACAAAATAACTGGGAGTGGTAACTTACAAGAGACTACAGTTAAGGGCCTTATTTCTTTTTCTTTTTTTAAATCTCAATTATTTCTCACCTTTGGAGTTTGAAGTATGACCCCAAATGCGCTGAATGTGTCGTACAGGAGTTTCTCATCAATCTCGGGGTCCAGATTGCCAATGAAGATGTTGGCGCCTACGTCCAAGTTCTTCTGATGTGCCGAGGCCTATGGAACAAAACAAACCAAAAAAAATATCTGATGACCAGATTTCTGATTGACTTAAAGGTAGAGTCCATCATTTGTAATTTGTGCATTTTGTTCGTTTGAAGCAACAAAAGAGTTCAAAATCTAATGAAGGATACTGAGCAACTAACCTGATGAAGTTTCAGCTAAGCTTCAGCTGTACATTCCGAGAAAAACAGCATTCTAAGATCTCAATTTCAAATCAAAAGTTGCTGAATCATGTTTTGAATTGTTTTGAATTGCAACTATACGCGACGTCGCGCACTGATCCGACGAATTATAACAACCGCGCGCGCGTGTGCGTCGTTCGAATACTTGTGCGCGCTGCGCTGAATAACAAAACGAACTACTAATTTAAATTTTCCTACGGTGCTTCTTAAGAATCACCGTTGGAAATGCCTTCTTTCGTTGATTACTTCAAAATGACAGCTTCCCAGAAAGAATAATTTCACAGGGAGTTTAGTCTCCTTACTATCTTTCAAACACGTTAGTTTTTCAACAATAATTACGCCAGTTACTTTTCGGATGGCTGCAAATGATGGACTCTACCTTTAAAAACAGGAACAATTCAGTGTTCCCCCTGGCATGTTTTTGCATAAATCAGTGAGGGTGAAAGTTTACTGTCGACAAAAAGATGAAGCAAAACAAGTCTAAGTTTAAAACAAAGTCTCCTAAATCACAATCTTGTGGTTATGTTTTACCCCTCCCCCCAAAAAAGGACACTTCTCCCACCTAGTACATGTACTTCTCTCTAAACAAAAAGTAAGACATCTGTAAGGCCAAAAAAAAAAAAATAGTTCTGCTTCCAGTTACCCTACCTAGCCTATTTTGACAGCCCCTACCCTAATTTTTTGGGGGGAAAAAATGAGGGGGGAAAAAACTCCATCTGATCGTACACACACAAAAATTCCCTACCTACTTACCCTATTTTCAAATGCCATGTAATCGGAAGCAGAACTAATTTTTATTTTAGGCCCAAGCCTACAGTTCCTCGATCGCACCATCAACTGACGTATTTTGTCTGGTGCGCCACAATATCACATAAAGCATAACATTTGTGTGACAAATGCGTCAGTTGTCCGAGCAACGCCTTTGTTCCCTAGTGTGCTGACCTCTGCTTGACCTTTGACCTCACCTTATTGACCCTGATTGGTTTGCCGTACAGCTTGATCATGTTCATGACCTTGATGGCATAATCGGCGTCTTCCTCGCTCATGAACTCCACGAAGCCATAGCTCTGATGCTGCTGGGTCACTCGGTCCTTGGGCATGTGGGTGTTCACTGTAGAGCCAAAAACAAATTACGTCAAAAAATTGTAGATCAACACTTTCTTTATTTTAAAGAAATCAAAGCGCGAGCTTGACCGTTTGGGTTCCAGTAAGTCAACATCTTTCCAATATCTACATTAGTTACTTTTATGACCCCGTTCCTATATAAGAGAATGAAAACCCATTGTTATGTTCTGAACTCATCTAAACAGCTGGCTAAGGCAAGATTTAATTCTTCTTACTGATTCGTGGCTCTGGAAGAAATATTTTTAAAGGGAACTAAAGTTGAGGACCATTTGGTTGACAACTGACGCATTTGCAATGGTCGTCTTCCAAGAAAATAGCTATGCTGAAAAATGTGGCTACGCCGATACGGCCGATAAGGTTTAACCCTAACCGCCCTGAAACCTTCAAAATCCTCTTTGCCAAAGTGGAGGAATTTGGAGGATTGAGGATACATGGCAAAAGTGCGTTATTGATTTCGTAGGATGCACTTTGTCAAGGTCTAGGGCTGGACCTTGTGTTGCTTTTGCTCAGCCATGCATAAATATAGGCCTGGATTATGCTTGCAATCCTCAGTACTGCTCCAGAATGTCACTGGCCAAGCCTCAACATATTGACAGTCACTGCCACAGGATTTTGCAGGATGTAGGCAGTGGTCACCCCTCCACAGACCATATTCAAGAAATAATGGAGGAATGTGCAGGATTGAGGCTATATCCTAGCAAAAAAGGCCTCAGTAGCAGGGTATTCTGCAATTGTACCCTGAGGAATCAAAGTGGGCATTAGGAAAACCTGGCAACTCAAGGAAACGATGTATGAAACAGTGACTCACCGACAGGGCCTGCCTGAAGGAACAGCTCCCATAGCAAAGCTTCCGACACCTTCTCATCCAGCCCACCCACGTACACGGTGGCATCTGGGTACAATTCAAACAACGCCAACCTATTAATTATCCTCTCGTCAAATCCCGGCTTCCAATAACAGTCAATGCCATACATGGCGATAGCATTCCAAAGTTGAACTGTGATACATTCCTATGGTATTGCTTTTGACAATAATTACATTAATTTATATCCAACAATGATCGATGATTTCCAGATGGAATTTTAAGACAACATATTCTGAAAATTTCCTCAGAAATTACTCTCAGACTTAGCGAGCCCAACTTAATTTTGTGTGTTAGTACTTTGTGCTTCAAAACCCATACATTTTCAACACGCTTTGAGCATGTATGCGGGCGCACTTTTGACCAAAACTGAATGACACTGACAGGCAACAGCCGTACAAATGCACATTATCAAATTTTGATGCAAGCTAGTGAGGGCGTGATTTATCACAACCCATGACGTCATGCAACACGACGCTTTCGTGAACAATGGCTGTAAAAGTCGTCCGAATTCAACTCGAAATTACAAGATAACTAGACCTCTGAAGGTGCCAAATTTAACGTTTTGTTGATATTGAGCAGTTGTAGACGGCATTGTGTGAATATAAAGTGACAAAATAATTGCGATTTCTATTGGATTTTCGGCTCCCTTAGCAACGGACAGCTCTCCGTCTAATTTACCACATGTGGATTTGTGACGGTTAATACGGAGGTAGTCTTACATGTATTACCGTCACATTTATGGGACTACTTAACGAAATGACTCACACAGTCACACGTCATCATGCGCTATGCACTGCAGTGCATGTCGCATTTTCTTCCAAAAAGTAGGCCTACAATCTTCAAAACGATAGAAAACAAGCATAAATTTGAATGTAAACTAAAAGACTGCTTCAGGCTGCAAATGTCCTTTTTGAGTAATAAACACTGTGTAAGTAGATGTAAAAAAAAAAAAACATAGACCGACCTAAACAAATATTGAAATAGAGATGACCCTTTAATTTTTTTCCTCCATGGTTTAACTTGACGAATGTGGGACTGGGAATCGAATGTCCGTAGTGTCCGGAAATTGGGCATTCACCATGTTACAATTTATTTTTGTAAATGTTTGCGGATATCACCGTAATCTTAATGTATTCGACATCGAATATTATTTTCCTTCTGCAGAAAAGACACATGTTAAAATCCCGAAACCTGATAAAACATAGGCCTACCTTGATTTCTCTCTTGCGGAGGACCTGCCGCCATCGTGCCTTCGGCTTCGCTTTCAAACTACAGGCATAAAACGTGCGATATGCGATGAAGTAAGCGTAGCATGTGAAACACTCTTCGGATACGTTTAGATGCGAAACTTTAAAGGAAATACCTAAATACTAGAAAGCTAAATCCACGGACTTCATTTAAAACTACGCATTGAATATTATAAACAATGTGAATGAAATAATGTTCCTTCCTTAATACGCTGAAGGGGAATAAATAAGTTAATTACACAATAAAATCTGTTGTGTCATAGAGTTTGCAATTATTAAAAACAACACACACACAGAAACATAAAAAAACCAAATAAATAAATAAACAATTAACAACTTCCCCCTACCAAAAAAAAAACAGTCATAAGCTTGAGATTTCCTCTCATTTAACCATCGCTGCCTAGCTCATACCAATTTTTCTTGATTGCTTTCATTTTTTTTAATATTCCAAATGCAATGGTTATTAGAAGCGACTCTCATACAGTCACTCTAAGAAAAATACACGCCTCGGAAGATCTGAACAAAGTGAGTGCGGCGCCACTAGCGTTTGTATTTTGCCATCATCTCGCTGTAAAGAGGGCGCTGTTCATGTTTGGCACAATGAATTTTCTTACAAAAATTGTGGATATTGTTTTATGCATCGTTGTTTTCGTTTTCATTATTGTGATTAACAAGCAACATATTACGTAAATCACGGCCCCTCCAAATGCCGCCTGTGCTTATTACCAATGGCTTCCGTTTTGTTGCAAATGTTCTTTCTAAATCTATCCTTCTTTCTTAAGAGTATGGACAAATTAATTCTACAATCACTAATAGTTTCAGTTGATGGCCGATGCATTCTTTGGGGAAAAAGGCATCTGGCAGCGAAGTGTATTAGAGTAAAAGTGTACACAACCAAACACTGTTTTCTGTTTGACTCTTTTTCCAAGTTTTGAAAAGGACACAATCAAGAGTCACGCTCGCACACAAAATGTTGACTCGTAATAATTCCCTTTTTAAAGACTAAGGGAAAACAAAGAGAATTTGATAGAATATGTATACATATAATTTGATAAACCCCTGCAGGGACAATGCGCCATTCTATTAATAACACTGAAAAGACGTTTCACATAATGGCCTGGTCCACATAATCAGGAACAATGGAGCCGGTTGCTCGCCCATTGTCGCCATAAATCCTTCGAATCGATTGTTTCTAGTCCGCGCAAGGAAAATCGAAGTCGTATATACCGTCTGTATAATACTGCACATCTAGATGAAAAATGGCTGCATCGTGTGCGTACTTTTGAGAAACAACTGATCGGCACATAAAATAGGTTAAGCGCCATGATTTGTTTGGTTGAAGTATCTAGCCGTACAGAAAGATATAAATTTACCGTAGTAAGTTTATGTGCCGTTTCTGGACACCGAAACTAAAACCAGTGATCTGTTGCGGCGCGGCCTTTTGAGTTATTGAACTGTTATTACCAAAGAACCCTTGAAGATGGCTACGGGAGGAGGCAACGGCGCCGGAAGACACAATCCCCGTTCTTTCTTGGAGGTTCCGGAAGAAGTCCGAGGAGTCAAGAGTATCTCACCGCGTCGACGCTTCAAGTTGTCCCCGGTGAATCCGGCCTATCGCCCCGATGATGTCGTGTCCTCGCGGTACTCGGTCACGTCCAGTGACGAGGAGCGCGAATCGCCTTCAAGGGGTTGGGTAAGTTGTGGCCTGTTTTGTAGGTTAATAACATCATTTTTTTTATCAGAAGTTTGAAGATAACGCTAATATTTGTGGTAAGGTCGAGTCTTTTGGTGGGATGTTGTTTGGTTAAGTTTAAAATGACTAAGATTAAAAAATAAAAAACTTTTTGTTATCCCCTTTCTTCAACTAAAAAGGCAGCCTCGCCAGCCTGCAAAGATAAACAAGAAGTACTTCACCGTGTTTTGCGTTTCCTATAACAGCAGCATAATCATTGGCCGTTGAAAACTGAATTTTATGTCGGGGAGATGCATTTTTTTGTGGGTTACACTTAAGTTTACTTCAGTTAAGAGCAAAACCAAAATACTGTTGCATTTTTACTGAAACTGTCCAGGATTATGCTTGAAATGGAAAGTCCATTTTGTATGCTTAATAAAACCTTTATAATAACCATGGTGACGGTCATTGATGCAAGAATACTAGTTCCAAGGTATGTACGTAATTATGCATAGGAAGGTTATTATTTATCATCATTTTAATTAGCATCCTTCGTAAAGGTCAGTTAGTCCATCTTTTATCAGCAGTGACTTCACGGACATTAAATAAAATCGATACTTGGGAAGGTATAGTCTAATATACTAATAAAACGGTTATATAATTTTTACAATGACATTTTGGGGATAAGGGAGCCACGATTCAGAGTTGCATGACTCGTGACTCGGATTCGAGTCGAACTCGAGTCCCATTCTCCATGACTCGGACTCGAGTCACCATGATGACAAATGACTCGGACTCGGACTCGACCCCGGACTCGGACTTGGACTCTACCAAAATAGGGACTCTACTACCAAAATGACCACAAATCACTTATTTTGTCAACAGTATGATTTAAATTATTTTAAAGACGCAAGCGATACTCAGTATATAGTGCAGAAGAAACGCATGTAAGTACTGTTCATGAGTGTACAACTCTTTGACTTCAATGGTTTATCCTGTGGTTTGTTTATTTGACATGTCTGTATTTTCAGTTAATTAAAGTAGAGAAAAGCTGTGAAAATGAAACTATTTACACCGGAAGGGTTTAACAGTACCTCAAAATGTATTTCCAATATATATTAAATGTGACTCGTGACTCGGACTTGGACTCGACCTTTGTGTCTCGTGACTCGGACTCGGACTCGACCTTTGTGTCTCGTGACTCGGACTCGTCCTGCATGACTCGGGACTTGGACTCGGACTCGTCCTGCATGACTCGGGACTTGGAATCGGACTCGTCCTGCATGACTCGGGACTTGGACTTGGACTCGGGAGAGGTGACTCGGACTTCGACTCGGACTCGATATTTGGTGACTCGAATACAAGTCTGCCTAGATTGCTTGAAGTTAACTGATTGGTTAAGAACGTTGAGGGCGCTACAAGCACCCACATAAATAGAGCTGCTGGATATAGTGACGCCTTCTGTGGCACTCTTAAAGAAAAGTCGAGTTCTTGTCCTAGAATGGCCCAATAAAAAAATTAAGACATTATGATGTCAAATTGGAGAAATGTAAAAATGCCTCGTGAAAACGCATAACGCTAGGCCCTCTGTTTTTGCATGACTTTAAACAGGTTTTCGAAACAACGGCCTCTCTCAAGTTCGGCTTCGTCACTGTCTCAGAATCATTTAAAAGCAAATCAAATGGAACTACTCAAAATTGCGACTTCGTGTAATTAAATCTGACGATACGAAAGCATAAGATTGAGCCTGTCTCCCTTAATATCATGGGCCTTGAAGATATCAGACCAAAGCCCAGAGCCTGTATCTTCACCCAATCTCCTCGGTATCAAAATCCAACCAAGAACACACATGGGTTTATAATGGGGTTTTTAATGGGGCAAAAATCCCCCCCCCCCCCTTAAGCCAGCCACAAAAGCTGCCAGAAGAGGACAGAAGTGTGGCACTTTAAGGTAAATTCAAGGTAAATTCATGGTAAATTCAACTCGGACAAATCCGATGTATTGGAAAAGAGCTAAAATGCCCGAGCGCTTAAAGGTGAATAGCGCCCTCTCCAGACAAACTTATCGTTTTGTGCTGGGTGCGCATGATCCGTCGCGAGGTCGCTGTACGCGGACTGATCGAAGGTGTTGTCGCAACCAACCCGCTGTGGCCTGACGGGTCGATAAGACCAGGCCGAGTCTGATAGAATACGATTGGAGATTTTGATACTGGTGTTTGACTACAACATGATACATGACTAATCCGAAATACTCACATGATACACAGGTAGATCAGAAAACATCATCATTGCGCACGTACAATAGGAGATGCATCTTTGGTTTGGCTCACGAGCAATGTGTTTCAAAGGCACATAGGATCATTTGCTTTTCATGCAATTTTTTTCGTGTCCAATAATAACACCACTCAAAATCCAAAGAGGAATGTTCAAAATCTAACCTGTTGAAGTTTCAGCTCAGTCGATATTACGCTTTTCGAGAAAACAGTGAAAAACCATGCACAAGCTTTTGATCAAGAAACACGATTTCGTCTATAGCACTTCTTCCAAAAGTCAGTCAATATTGACTGATCGTTGGTAATCATCTTGATTTCTTACAACTGACAGCAAGCCGGAAGGAATAATTTCACGAGGTGTTTAGTACCAGTTAATCCAAGGAAGCTTCTAGATAATAATTTGGAAGGTTACTTTTGGGATGACAGCGACGATCCTATAAATGCCTTTTACAGTAGAATGCAGGTTTACTATTGAAACTACTATGGCAGATCCAATGTGTTAACTTGTAGCCGAATCCAAGTACAGATGCTTGTAATAGAAAATTTGACAACTGTGTTTATTTGTGAAACGCAAAAATACAGAAAACGCAGGTATAAAACATAATCCCTCCAGTGTGCTATTTTTATTTTTACTCACCACTTGATATATAGGCCCACAAGGTAATGGTGATAACTAGGAGTATAGTCAATTACCCCGTCTTTGTTAATAAGTCAATTATCGATTTTTGTTCCATGGACAAAATTAGCCATAGCAGTTCCCCCCCCCCCCCCCTGAGTACAAGCAGTGTTTAAAGTCGGTTATTTGTGCATAGAGCGCAGACGGCGGTGAAGGATTCTACAAATTGCTATCGAGTGAATAATTGATATGAAATATATTCAAGGTCCGACTGCGACTGTGTCCTTAATATGGTCATCATTGTATCAGTGTATGGGCTCCCTTTTACATAGCAACGACGTCCCATGGGCGGGACATTTAGCTGGTTGGCGCGCACCGTTCCTTGTGTACACCAGGGGATTTGTACTATGTACACGCAGTGGTATGGCCGCGCGTCGCGGCAAAATTGCAGTCAGGCAAGATGGCGTCGGTCGGTTACCCCCAACTGTACTTTCTTTGCTGGTGAGGGAGTACTTGTGAACGGAGCGGATACCTCCATACCAAACCTTTCATGTCACTATGACTTCCAACAAGTCTGGATAACGATGTTTGTTTAATTCAGAAATGTTTGTATTCATAATAATAATACCGGAGTCTTATATAGCGCACGTATCTACCAACAATTAGGTACTCAAGGCGCTGGAAATTATGTCTATTATTCAAGACAGGTAATTGAAGTTTATGAGAAATATGACACCCATTTTGTAATACGTAAGTTATAGGCCTTAGGGTTTACAAGGTGCTGCGGCGCAAATTGCGCATTTTCAAATTGTTCCTATTATAGTGAAATTAGCCAGTCAGTAAGATTTTTCTTTATTTTTTTTGCATGCAGTTAATAAAAATGTGTTTTGAAGTAAGTTCCAATATCACGTACCACTGCAAATTACAGGAATTGTGCAAAATTGACGGTACGCCTATTTCGTTCTCCTATAATTAAGACGTGGCGTACATGGTCAATCGTAACGACGATAGAATCATAACAACGCAAAAAAAAGACAACGCTTGTTGACAGCCAGAACAAAATGCCACTTTTAATATAAAATATGGTTAATATTTTGCAAATGCTAATTTCCAATTAATTTGAGATTAATGATTAACAATGTAGGCGCTGCTGCCGCGGCTACCATCAATCAGTTTATCGTTGTTTGCTGGATACACCCAATAACAGTTGGTTGGAGTTATCGAAATAACAATAATCGGATTACTGGAATCGATACCGTCTTGTGATCTCAGCGTGTAGGGCCATACAATTTGACTGCACCAGACTGATCAATATGTCAATTCATTTTCTAGGAAACCAGAGGAAATAAATTATGTTTACCGTGGCACTGACAACTAAATATTGAATTGCAGGTATGTTTTTTTTTCTACGCCATTTTTCAGGCAGGGTATATATCCTGCGGAAAATCGTAAATCTGGGACCATCTGTTTTATACAACGTAGTTTTGATTTAAAGAAAACCATTGATTTTTCTTTTAAAAAATATATAAAAGTGACAAAATATATTCAAAACAATGCAGAAAACACCGTAAGTAAAGCTAAGACAATCGCATTTGATCAGTAATGCTTAAATGCGACTTGCATGATGGACATGATCAATGAATGGGAGGTTTACGGTAACACCATGTGAATGATATCTCTCAGTGAGTTGTGTGGTTCTGAGAACAACCAGTTGGTTTAACTCGACGTTTCGAACAGTATGCTCTGCTCGTCATCAGGAGACCATTCAGTAATTCTATAAAAAACAAAAATGGGTGTGAGTGTTGTGCAACGTCAAATAATGCTTCAAATCCGCTTTCTCGTGAAAATACTATACCGAGCGTTGTTCAGTTTTCACCGACCGGTTCCTCTGAAATGTATAAAAGCTACGAGACACCCTTTTTGGAAAAAAAAATGCAAAGTGTACTTTTGTCAACATTAAAATGTTTCATACTTTGCCTGACAACTGAGAGCGCTGTTGCTGTGGTGTCACTTCGGGAACACACTCTTCAGATTAGGATTTTTCTCTTCAAATTATAAACCTAAAATAATTATATAAAGATTAAACATAAAGTTAAATGGAACACAAAGCGTATATTTCAGGGATCACATATA